TCTGTCCGCTCTATTTACTTCACATGCCATAAGCCATTCTGTGGGCATTGTTTACTGTTATTATGGATGATTATTAGTAGCGGTCTGCACATTTAGCATGTATAATACTCTATGCCTTCAGAAAGTATTGACACCCCTTGACTTTTTCCACATTTTGTTGTGTTACAGCCTGAATTTTAAAATGATTACATTGAGATTTTTTGTCACTGGTCTACACACAATACCCCATAATGTCAAAGTGGAATTATGTTTTTTGAATTAAAAATAAATACAAATAATAAATGAAAAGCTGAAATGTCTTGAGTCAATTAGTATTCAAACCCTTTGTATGGCATGCCTAAATAAGTTCAGGAGTAAAAATGTGCTTAACAAGTCATAATAATTTGCATGGACTCACTCTGTGTTCAATAATAGTGTTTAACATGATTTTTGAATGACTGCCTCATCTCTGTACCCCACACATACAATGATCTGTATAGTCCCTCTGTCGAGTAGTGAATTTCAAACACAGATTCAACCACAAAGACTAGGGAGGTTTTCCAATGCCTCGCAAAGAAGGGCACCTATTGGTAGATGGGTAAAAACACAAAATAAAGCAGACATTGAATATCCCTTTGAGCATGGTGAAGTTATTAATTACACTTTGGATGGTGTATCAATACACCCAGTCACTACAAAGTTTCAAGCGCCCTTCATAACTCAGTTGCCAGAGAGGATGGAAACCGCTCAGGGATTTCACCAGGAGGCCAATGGTGACTTTAAAACAGTTACAGAGTTTAATTGCTGTTATAGGAGAAAACTGAGGATGCCTCAACAACATTGTAGTTACTCCACAATACTAACCTAACTGACAGAGTGAAAAGAAGGAAGCCTGTACAGAATAAAAAATATTCCAAAACATGCATCCTATTTGCAACAAGGCAAAGACCCCCCCAAAATATTGTCACATACATCAGATAGGTGCAGTGAAATGTGTTGTTTTACAGGGTCAGCCATAGTAGTACGGCACCCCTGGAGCAAATTAGGGTTACGTGCCTTGCTCAAAGACACATAGACAGATTTTTCACCTTGTCGGCTAAGGTATTCGAACCAGTGACTTTTCGGTTACTGGCCTAACGCTCTAACCGCTAGGCTAAAGTAATACTGCAAAAAATTTGACAAACATTTAACTTTTGGTCCTGAATACAAAATCCTATACAACACATTAATGGATACCGCTCTCCATATTTTCAAGCATAGTGGTGGCTGCATCATGTTATGGGTATGCTTGTAATTGTTAAGGACTGGGGAGTTTTTCAGGATAAAAAAGAAACAGAATGGCGCTAAGCATAGGCAAAATCCTAGAGGAAAACCTGGTTCCATCTGCTTTCCACCAGACACTGGGAGAAGAATTCACCCTTCAGCAGGACAATAACCTAAAACACAAGGCCAAATCTACACAGGAGTTGCTTACCAAGAACACAGTGAATGTTCCTGAGTGGCCGAGTTACAGTTTTGACTTTAATCTGCTTGAAAATCTATGGCAAGACCTGAAAATGGTTGTCTAGTGTCACATATACTCCTTCTCCGGCATTCGAGGTCGGCAGTTCACTCACCATTACGCACACATGCCACCATCGTTACGCGCTCCTGCGCTTCATGAGACTCACTCCATCACCTTCCTGATTACCTTCCCTATATCTGTCACTCCCTTTGGTTCTTTTCCTAGGCGTTATTGATTCTGTTCCTATGTTTCATGTCTGTACGCTACTTGTGTTTCTTGTTTTGTTCCATGTTTTATTTATTATTAAATTCACTCCCTGTACTTGCCTCCAGACTCCCAGCGTATACGTTACATCTAGCAATGATCAACAACCAATTTGACAGAGCTTGAAGCATTTTGAAAATAATAATGACCAAATGCTGCACAATCCAGGTGTGGAAAGCTCTTAGAAACTTACCCAGAAAGACGCACAGCTCTAATCACTGCCAAAGGTGCTTCTACAAAGTATTGACTCAGGGGTGTGAATACTTATCTAAATTAGTTATTTCTTTATTTCATTTTCAATAAATTAGCAAACATTTCTAAAAACTTGTTTTCACTTTGACATCATGGGTTATTGTGTGTAGATGGGGGAGAAAAAATATATATTTAATCAATTTTGAATTCAGGCTGTAACCAGAATAAGTCAAAGGGGATGAATAGTTTCTGAAGGCACTGTATTCAGGGAGGGTTTCACATCTGTAAGAGGGCTCTTGGATTCCTCATGATACAGGGTGAAGTCACCACATGATCCAGGGGCTGTCCCCACATGATACAGGGTGAAGTCATCACATGATCCAGGGGCTGTCCCCACATGATACAGGGTGAAGTCACCACATGATCCAGGGGCTGTCCCCACATGATACAGGGTGAAGTCACCACATGATCCAGGGGCTGTCCCCTCATGATACAGGGTGAAGTCACCACATGATCCAGGGGCTGTCCCCTCATGATACAGGGTGAAGTCACCACATGATCCAGGGGCTGTCCCCACATGATACAGGGTGAAGTCACCACATGATCCAGGGGCTGTCCCCTCATGATACAGGGTGAAGTCACCACATGATCCAGGGGCTGTCCCCTCATGATACAGGGTGAAGTCACCACATGATCCAGGGGCTGTCCCCACATGATCCAGGGTGAAGTCACCACATGATCCAGGGGCTGTCCCCTCATGATACAGGGTGAAGTCACCACATGATCCAGGGGCTGTCCCCTCATGATACAGGGTGAAGTCACCACATGATCCAGGGGCTGTCCCCACATGATACAGGGTGAAGTCACCACATGATCCAGGGGCTGTCCCCTGAATCCATTTATAGATAGTAGGACACTAGTGGATTTAGGCATCTCTTGCTGTTTCTTATCTTCCTCTTCCCCTCTCTCTCTCTTTTTCAGGCAAGTCCCGCCCCAATAATTGTCAACACCGACACTCTGGAGACCGTACCTTACGTGAGTTCCTTTTTTTTTTTAATGCTTCGACCCATTTTTTTTCCGCATTTGATTATATTTTGGCAATTTATTTAATTATGTTTATAAGCACAAACAACATATATTTCCTTTATGTAGTCTTTATTAGCCATATGAGAGGGGAATTATGTTTTGAGGACGGATAAGACTTTTCAGCACTGTTTGTCAATGTGCACAATGTTATGTTCTTGAATATTTCTCTGAAACAACATACAGTATATGGGTAAAACAAATAAGGCCACTGTTGTGAATTATTGATAGTTGTTATAAATAAAACACCAACACAGGACCACTGATTTGTACAGCCCAAAAGCCTGCATTTTGGTTTGGCATCAGAAAGTTTTTTCATACTGGCCCCCCGTGGGAATCGAACCCACAACCCTGGCGTTGCAAACGCCATGCTCTTCCAACTGAGCTACATAATGTCAGTAAACATCTTTGGAAATGCCACTTTGTTTCTGAACGACTTACTAAAAGTGTATTATTATTTCAAAACCAAAAAATATTGAAGAATCTAGAAGAGCACCATTCTGAATTATTCATTCATGACTTCCATCCACTGTGTCCACATTGTGTTTGTGACCAGATTTACTGGTCTCTCCCTGAATACAAATAATTTGACAGATATTGTTTTAAAAGAATAGTTATTTCTTTTAGGTCAATAATTGATGCCATAAGTCAATGGTAGCACCTGTGATGGATTTTAGAGGGCAGGATAGTGATATTGGAAAAATGATCCGGACAATTTGAGAACCAACTAAAACCATGTAGAAACCATGTGAATATTTATGACCCAATGAACTTTCTTGAAGGAGAAGCGCTCTCCTACATGGTGCTGAGATCCATCTCTTTCAAGTCCCACAGCCTGTCAGTGTTATAATTGCATTTCACTGTTCTTGCTTTTCTTGCCATTCAGTGAGTTATGAAAAATGTAATCTGCCAAAGAAGCTGAAAGATCCGTGATGGACTCTACTGGTTCTTACTCACACAGCATCAAGGTGGTCCTGAATGGCTCAGTTGGTAGAACATGGAGTTGCAATGTCATAGTTGTGGGTTCGGTTCCTGCTGGGGCCACCCATCAAAAATAATGTATGGATGCTCTACTGTAAGTCACTTTGGATAAAAGTGTCTTCTAAATGGCATATATATTATTATTATTATATTTCTATATATTATTGTTACCCATCCATCTCTAACTCGACCTAAGCCGTATCATTTCACAAACCCTGAAGTCATCAACACGCATATGCATCATTTGAAAGAGATTATGTTTGAAGGATGCTCACTGCAAAGAGGTCAAATGGTATATAATTGTACATCCAACATGAAGCATTCTGAGGTGATTCCCAGCACATAATGTTCTTCCCCTGTGCGGATACTTAAAATACAGGAAGTTTCCTCCAAAGCTGCGTGGCCGGCATCCTCCAGTCAGAAGTGTAGCAGTAAGGAGAGGCAGAGCGAGCATCCCAGAATCCTCTCTATTCCCTGGAGGCGGCAGGGCCTGGTTAGCACAAGAATAATGAGTTGCCTTGGAAAACCAGGTGTTAACTCTAGATTTCACCCTTCTCCCTCTGCAGACCGTGCTTCTGTAAAGGGGCAATTTGGCATTGGTATATCCATTTTTGGACTTTTAATGTAATGATGTATACTGTAAAGCCATTGATTCTTGAAGATGAAAACGTATAAATGCCTCATGAGTTTAACTCAACTGTGTTACTCTATCAGACCCCAAAATATAAGTTTGTTTTACTACATTGTTTATAAACAATGTAATTGTAAACAAACACTGTATATAATTTTTATCTGATGCATGGTCAGTCCTAACATCCATAGCTCCGTCAATGAGTTTGAGAGGGGTTACTTTTCTCCAGCCCCATCCCTCAGCTGTTTACCAAAACTGATGTTGATGTTGTTTGAACTGCAGTTTGCCACTTTAAAACAATTCAACTAGGAGGTTGACAGACCTGAATATTATAATAAAGCGTTTTCCAAAGCAGTGTCTTTAAAGATGCAGAAGGTAGGCACTGATGTGGAACACTTCTTATGTTTTAAGAAGACAGTTGCCTCCTTTGTCATGTGTTACATTACGTCCAAGGTGGGTGACGAAAACACTGACTGGCTCTATAGGCAAAGGGAGGGGAAGCCACCTCATTCAGCTGCCAAATCAGCTACGACCACAGGGCGTCTTTTTTCCTGTTTGCTAGCAAGATGACACCAGAATGATACACCATACAGTGGCTTGCGAAATATTCACCCCCCTTGGCATTTTTCCTATTTTGTTGCCTTACAACCCGGAATTAAAATTGATTTTGGGGGGGGTTGTATCATTTGATTTACACAACATGCCTAACACTTTGAAGATGCAAACTATTTTATATGGTGAAACAAACAAGAAATAAGACAAAAAAACTGAAAACTTGAGTGTGCATAACTATTCACCCCCCAAAGTCAATACTTTGTAGAGCCACCTTTTGCAGCAATTACAGCTGCAAGTCTCTTGGGGTATGTCTCTATAAGCTTGGCACATCTAGCCACTGGGATTTTTGCCCATTCTTCAAGGCAAAACTGCTCCAGTTCCTTCAAGTTGGATGGGTTCCGCTGGTGTACAGCAATCTTTAAGTCATACCACAGATTCTCAATTGGATTGAGGTCTGGGCAGTGACTAGGCCATTCCAAGACATTTAAATGTTTCCCCTTAAACCACCTGAGTTTTGCTTTAGCAGTATGCTTAGGGTCATTGTCCTGCTGGAAGGTGAACCTCCGTCCCAGTCTCAAATCTCTGGAAGACTGAAACAGGTTTCCCTCAAGAATTTCCCTTTATTTAGCACCATCCATCATTCCGACCAGTTTCCCAGTCGATGAAAACAATCCCCACACCATGATGCTGCCAACACCAGGATGGTGTTTAAATGTTTTAAATTTTTAGTAATTTAGCAGACACTCTTATCCAGAGTGACTTACAGTTAGTGAGTGCATACATTATTATTTTTTTTTTTGTTTCATACTGGGCCCCCGTGGGAATCGAACCCACAACCCTGGCGTTGCAAGCGCCATGCTCTACCAACTGAGCTACACGGGGCGAACTGAGCTACACCTCGTGGTGATGAGAGGTTTTGGGTTTGCGACAGACATAGCGTTTCCCTTGCTTATTTTTTTCTTAAGCAATGGCTTTTTTCTGACCACTCTTCCGTAAAGCCCAGCTCTGTGGAGGGTACGGCTTAAAGTGGTCCTACTGTGGAGCTTTGCAGCTCCTTCAGGGTTATCTTTGGTCTCTTTGTTGCCTCTCTGATTAATGCCCTCCTTGCATGGGCCGTGAGTTTTGGTGGGCGGCCCTCTCTTGGCAGATTTGTTGTGGTGCCATATTCTTTCCATTTTTTTATAATGTATTTAATGGTGCTCCGTGGGATGATCAAAGTTTCGGATATTTTTTTATAACACAACCCTGATCTGTACTTCTCCACAACTTTGTCCCTGACCTGTTTGGAGAGCTCCTTGGTCTTCATGGTGTCACTTGCTTGGTGGGGCCCCTTGCTTAGTGGTGTTGCAGACTCTGGGGCCTTTCAGAACAGGTGTACAGTGAGGGAAAAAAGTATTTGATCCCCTGCTGATTTTATATGTTTGCTATCTGACAAAGACATGATCAGTCTATAATTTTAATGGTAGGTTTATTTGAACAGTGAGAGACAGAATAACAACAACAAAATCCAGAGAAACGCATGTCAAAAATGTTATAAATTGATTTGCATTTTAATGAGGGAAATAAGTATTTGACCCCGCTGCAAAACATGACTTAGTACTTGGTGGCAAAACCCTTGTTGGCAATCACAGAGGTCAGATGTTTCTTGTAGTTGGCCACCAGGTTTGCACACATCTCAGGAGGGATTTTGTCCCACTCCTCTTTGCAGATCTTCTCCAAGTCATTAAGGTTTCGAGGCTGATGTTTGGCAACTCAAACCTTCAGCTCCCTCCACAGATTTTCTATGGGATTAAGGTCTGGAGACTGGCTAGGCCACTCCAGGACCTTAATGTGCTTCTTCTTGAGCCACTCCTTTGTTGCCTTGGCCGTGTGTTTTGGGTCATTGTCATGCTGGAATACCCATCCACGACCCATTTTCAATGCCCTGGCTGAGGGAAGGAGGTTCTCACCCAAGATTTGACGGTACATGGCCCCGTCCATCGTCCCTTTGATGCGGTGAAGTTGTCCTGTCCCCTTAGCAGAAAAACACCCCCAAAGCATAATGTTTCCACCTTCATTGGCAAACTTCAGACGGGCCTGTATATGTGCTTTCTTGAGCAGGGGGACCTTGCGGGCGCTGCAGGATTTCAGTCCTTCACGGCGTAGTGTGTTACCAATTGTTTTCTTGGTGACTATGGTCCCAGCTGCCTTGAGATCATTGACAAGATCCTCCTGTGTAGTTCTGGGCTGATTCCTCACCGTTCTCATGATCATTGCAACTCCACGAGGTGAGATCTTGCATGGAGCTCCAGGCCGAGGGAGATTGACAGTTCTTTTGTGTTTCTTCCATTTGCTAATAATTGCACCAACTGTTGTCACCTTCTCACCAAGCTGCTTGGCGATGGTCTTGTAGCCCATTCCAGCCTTGTGTAGGTCTACAATCTTGTCCCTGACATCCTTGGAGAGCTCTTTGGTCTTGGCCATGGTGGAGAGTTTGGAATCTGATTGATTGATTGCTTCTGTGGACAGGTGTCTTTTATACAGGTAACAAACTGAGATTAGGAGCACTCCCTTTAAGAGTTTGCTCCTAATCTCAGCTCGTAACCTGTATAAAAGACACCCGGGAGCCAGAAATCTTTCTGATTGAGAGGGGGTCAAATACTTATTTACCTCATTAAAATGCAAATCAATTTATAACATTTTTGACAAGCGTTTTTCTGGATTTTTTTGTTGTTATTCTGTCTCTCACTGTTCAAATAAACCTACCATTAAAATTATAGACTGATCATTTCTTTGTCAGTGGGCAAACGTACAAAATCAGCAGGGGATCAAATACTTTTTTCCCTCACTGTATATATACTGACATCATGTGACAGATCATGTGACACTTAGATTGCACACAGGTGGACTTTATTTAACTAATTATGTGACTTCTGAAGGTAATTGGTTGCACCCTATCTTATTTAGGGGCTTCATAGCAAAGGGGGTGAATACATATGCACGCACCACTTTTCCGTTATTTATTTTTTAGAATTGTTTTCATTCCACTTCACCAATTTGGACTATTTTGTGTATGTCCATTACATGAAATCCAAATAAAAATCAATTTAAATTACAGGTTGTAATGCAACAAAATAGGAAAAACGCCAAGGGGGATTAATACTTTTGCAAGGCACTGTATAAACGAATTCAAACCTATGCTGACACCACAGACGTGTGTGTCGAAGGCTGCATCATTACTGCTAGAACAGCCAGGCCACTCGTTTATTTAATTTTTTTGACACCACAGAGGCCACGTTCAAAGTGTATGATTGGTCAGAAACAGTAGTCCCATTTTGCTTGGTCTATCCTGAGTTTCATGGTCTGTTGTCTGGAGTTTTATGGTCTATTGTCCAGAATTGCTTGGTTTGTTGTCCTGAGTTTCATGGCCTGTTGTCCTGAGTTTCATGGTCTGTTGTCCTATGTTTCATGGACTGTTGTCCTAAGTTTCATGGCCTGTTGTCCTAAGTTTCATGGCCTGTTGTCCTAAGTTTCATGGTCTGTTGTCCTGAGTTTCATGGTCTGTTGTCCTAAGTTTCATGGCCTGTTGTCTTAAGTTTCATGGTCTGTTGTCCTGAGTTTCATGGCCTGTTGTCCTCAGTTTCATGGCCTGTTGTCCTCAGTTTCATGGCCTGTTGTCCTGAGTTTCATGGTCTGTTGTCCTGAGTTTCATGGTCTGTTGTCCTGAGTTTCATGGCCTGTTGTCCTGAGTTTCATGGTCTGTTGTCCTGAGTTTCATGGCCTGTTGTCCTGAGTTTCATGGTCTATTGTCCTGAGTTTCATGGCCTGTTGTCCTGAGTTTCATGGCCTGTTGTCCTGAGTTTCATGGCCTGTTGTCCTCAGTTTCATGGCCTGTTGTCCTGAGTTTCATGGTCTTTTGTCCTGTGTTGAAGTATCAGCTGGACCTTGTGTCTGCTTCATGCTTACCAGTATACGGTGTCCATATTAGGACAGCCTCAGTCTCAGCACCAGCCACAACTCAGACAAGGGCTCATTACTAAAGCAAGGACGACACCTGCTGGGAGAGCTAGCGCAGTGTTTCTTGACTTTTGAAGGTACTAGACTGTTGATAAAATGACATGTTATATACAATGTGTATGCTTTTGTCGATAAAGTTATACTGTATCGCTATACTCACAAGGATTTCTGCCCATATTACACACTGTAATAATGTGTGGGTGAATTTTTTGTCAAAAATGCTTTTGACAGACAAATGAATCTGTTTCTAGGAAAAGACCACATTTGACAGCCCTCGATGCAATCAAATTGAATTAATGAATTTGCGTTAGCAGCTAGCCTATGCGAGTGTACGTGTGCATGCATGTGTGAAACTGCATGAATCCCTCTACTATGAAAGATTACATAAAAAAGATTTCAATAATAGGATTTTCTTCACCTGGGGATTTTAAACTGAATCGTGTGTTCCTCATCAATATGCAGTTATAGCTTTTTTCAAACATTTCAGCAGAAAGGATGGGCACATCCTCCATTTGAACTGCATTCACCCAACCTTAACAATGGAAGTAGAGCAGGCTCTTATTTGTCTCGCCTCATCTTAAAAAAATGTTTTATAAAATTTGAATAAGTCTCATAACTCCTTTCGAGGTAAGAAAACAATTCAAGCTTTAAAATCCTTCTTTAACCTGTCTCCTCCACTTCATCTACACTAATTGAAGTGGATTTAACAAGTGACACCAATAAGGGATCATAGCTTTCACCTGGATTCACCTGGTCAGTCTATGTCATGGAAAGAGATGTTTTGTACACTTAGTGTATATAATTCATTTAAAAGTCCAAAAATGGATGTACAAATCCTAGATTGTCCCTTCTAGAATCTCTCATTATAAATCACACTGTGCCATCAACACCCGACACAGCAGGCCTCCACAATTAATATGGGGGAAAGAGGAGAGATCATAAAGGATGACAGGACTAAATTGGAGTTAATTTCATTGATGCCATGGCCTCTGTAGCAATTAGGCAATACATCATGTGGCTGTTTGAACACTGTGATTGCTCCCTTTTAATTGAATTTCAAACCATGGTAGAACAGCACTCACATGGTACACAGTGTAGCTGCTGTTGTCCCTCATTGCTATTAGGTGGTGAGCCTCATCAGGAAATGTGGGAAGCGTGTGTGTGTGATTGAGTTTATGTGTGTGTGTGTGTGTGTTTGTGTGCACATGGTGTGTGTACAGTGACGCACCAGTGTAATATTACCAACTTTCAGTCATAGCTGCCCTCACAGAGTAATGGCTTCAAGCTTTCAACTATAGAGACTATAATCCTATTTCACTATTACGCATAGGTTCAAGTTTTCCGTCACTGCGACTGATTTCTGTCATATAGAGTTCAACATTTTGGGTAGTGTTAATGCACTGCTGTAGGAACAGTCTCAGTTTGAACACCAACTTCGGTACATTGCAATTTACCGATGGGACTTCGGTCTCAGTGGGTCTCTGATATTGGCACTGAATAAGGGCAGTGATGGAAGGAGGAGAGCTCTGGACCTTGTTGAAACAACAGGGAAATAGATATGGATTTTCAGGTCCCAGACTGCATCAGCTGCAGATGGGTGGCAATTAAATCCAAAGTAGTGCCACTGGATAGGAGTAGGGGGAGGGTTGATGTTGTTTTGGACTTTGAGCAAATGCTTGGACTTATCCGCTATTTTCTAAGACTAGATGGGTTTAGTTTGACCTCTGGTCTAGAAACCAATCAAACCAAGTCAAGTAGTGTCATGTACTATGCGTGTGATCATGTCTTATGTTATGGGTGTGATCATGTCTTATGTTATGGGTGTGATCATGTCTTATGTTATGGGTGTGATCATGTCTTATGCTAATTGCTCTATGTTGTTTTTACGTATTTACATTGCTGAAGATAGCAAGTACCTTCAGGCTCAACCTTAAACTTGAATAGTCCCCGCGAAATTGTGATTCGTACAAATAATCAGAGACGCAAAAACCAGCACACAGGAAGAATTGTTCCTCATAACCCTCATATCCTATGTTTTCTGACAGACATATGTTTTGTTATGGATGTTGAGAGAGATTAGAAAGGAATGGAAGACACTAATGCAATACTATTATGACTGTGCTCACACCTCTGTAAACTTACAGGAAACAAAGTTATGTCCTGGGTATAATTAATCGATTCCACCTATTGTTTTCCCATAGGTCAACGGGACAGAAATTGAATATGAGTTTGAAGAAATCACACTAGAGCGGGTGAGTTGATGGACACACTCTGAAAGGACTATTTAAAAGGACCCAGAGAGGACTGCAGTCATTGAAATTGAACGAGGGATGCTCATCTCAGTCATTGAAATTGAACGAGGGATGCTCATCTCAGTCATTGAAATTAAACGAGGGATGCTCATCGCAGTCATTGAAATTAAAAGAGGGATGCTCATCTCAGTCATTGAAATTGAATGAGGTATGCTCATCGCAGTCATTGAAATTGAACGAGGTATGCTCATCGCAGTCATGTCCCATAAAGTGCTTCATAAACTAGCGTAGTCGTTAAATGCGACAGGCAGGATAAGTTAATAGGCCAAGTTAAGAGGCAGCTGCTGCCTAGGTAAACTGTAGGTGAGTATGTTTAAAGTCAGTGTTAGTCACCAAACTACCTCTGCTACATATGTTTCAAAACGTCTTGACCCCACACACGCTAACTGACACCATTTTGAAGCTGTTGGAGAAGCTAGATGAATTCACAAACTGCCAAAGACACAGTAACCCCAGGCTCAAGAAAGGGTTTCCAGCTTCATGCACCAATTTAAAATTAAAATGGGAATGCCGTCACAGTTTGTTATTCCGTTATCCAAACTAAAACAGGAACCTGTTTAATTTTCCACTGAAGCTAATTGATCTCAGCCAGGCAAGCTCAATAACACAAACATCTAAGTCCTGTGGGTGTTTTGAGCAGGCCAGCCCTTAATTGGGACATAACATTTGCATGAGAACAGCCAGGGATAGCATCCTCAAGGCTCACTGTTGATAAGAGGATTAGCTTGGTTGTAGATGACATTTTGACAGCTCGAAAGGACCTGAAACAATGCATTACAATAGGGAAAGGTCAGTTCAGCCAAAGGAAGTGAAAGGTCATCCAACAGCGGAGCCTGGAGCCTTTGGTGCATACTGCACAGCTCACCCTCTCAGGGGCAAGAGCAGACATAAACAGTGGCTTTGGGGCTAATGCTAATGCTACGTATGTGCTATTCAGGCTTCACGCCACAGGACCCTGTATCTATGCTCTCCACTTCCATTGCCCTAGCTAGTCAATGGGCTTAGATTATGAGTGCAGTTGAGTGAGCTAGCTATCATCACTTCCATCTCATCTCAGCCTGATTGAGCTCTTTTTGTATTTCTGGAGAGGGAAGCTTCCCCTGAGGGAGAACAGCGGCAATTGTATTCACCATGCCCGTCAGCTCAGCCTGCAGGGTCAGTGGATATTTAGTCAAGAGATGCCCCTACTCCCATCAGTTAGCAATTTAATCAAAGCGTCCACACTCATTTTGTAAGTGTGTCGAGGGGGATTTGGCTCATAAAACCGATAGAGCTGGGTTGTTGTACAAAGATGTCACGATCGTCTGAAGAAGCGGACCAATACGCAGCGCGTGGAGTGAACATGATGACTTTTATTTAATAAAGCAACCACGAAAAACAACAAATGACGATAGTGAAGTCCTCTGTAACACTGACAGAAACATGGAACAAAAACCCACAAACCAAGGAGAAACCACACAGAATAAATATGGCTCCCAATCAGAGATAACGAGCCGACAGCTGACACTCGTTACCTCCGATTGGGAGTCATATGACTAAACATAGAACAATCACCAAACATAGAAATGAACAACTAGACTACCCAACATAGAAATACACCCAAACAATGAAAATGAACAACCCTGGCTCAATAATCAAAGTCCATGGAGCCAGAGTGTCACAGTACCCCCCCCCTAAAGGTGCGAACTCCGGGCGCACCAGCATACAGTCTAGGGGAGGGTCTGGGTGGGCGTCTGTCCATGGTGGCGGCTCTGGCCCAGGTCGTGGTCCCCACCCCACCTTAGTCACTATCCGCTTCCGTAGCCCCCTCCACCTGACCACCCCCCAACTAAACCCCACTGGATTAAGGGGCGGCACCGGACTAAGGGGCAGCACCGGACTAAGGGGCAGCAACGGACTAAGGGACAGTACCTGACTAAGGGGCAGCACCGGCCTGAGGGGCAGCACCGGACTGAATGGCGGATCCTGGCTGGCTGGCTCTGGCGGATCCTGGCTGGACGGCTCTGGCGGATCCTGGCTGGACGGCTCTGGCGGATCCTGGCTGGCGGAAGGCTCTGGCTGATCCTGTCTGGCAGAAGGCTCTGGCTGATCCTGTCTGGCGGAAGGCTCTGGCTGATCCTGTCTGGCGGAAGGCTCTGGCTGATCCTGTCTGGCGGAAGGCTCTGGCTGATCCTGTCTGGCGGAAGGCTCTGGCTGATCCTGTCTGGCGGAAGGCTCTGGCTGCTCCTGTCTGGCGGAAGGCTCTGGCTGATCCTGTCTGGCGGAAGGCTCTGGCTGCTCCTGTCTGGCGGACGGCTCTGAAGGCTCATGGCAGACGGGCGGCTTTGCAGGCTCAGTACAGACGGGCAGTTCCTGCGGCGCTTGGCAGACGGACAGTTCAGACGGCGTTGGGCAGACGGGCAGTTCAGACGGCGTTGGGCAGACGGACAGTTCAGGCCCCGTTGGGCAGACGGACAGTTCAGGCCCCGTTGGGCAGACGGCAGACTCTGGCCGTCTGAGGCGCATCGTAGGCCTGGTGCGTGGTGCCGGAACAGGAGGTACCGGGCTGAGGACACGCATCTCAGGGCTAGTGCGGGGAGAAGCAACAGGGCATGCTGGACCCTGGGGACGCACCGTAGGCCTGATGCGTGGTGCCGGAACTGGAGGTACCGGGCTGAGGACACGCATCTCAGGGCTAGTGCGGGAAGCAGCAACAGGGCATGCTTGGCCCTGGGGACGCACCGTAGGCCTGATGCGTGGTGCCGGAACTGGAGGTACCGGGCTGAGGACACGCATCTCAGGGCTAGTGCGGGGAGAAGCAACAGGGCATGCTGGACCCTGGGAACGCACATAAGGGCTAGTGCGGAGAGCCGGAACAGGGCATGCTGGACCCTGGGGACTCACATTAAGCCTAGTGCGGAGAGCAGCAACAGGGCATGCTTGGCCCTGGGGACGCACCGTAGGCCTGATGCGTGGTGCCGGAACTGGAGGTACCGGGCTGAGGACACGCATCTCAGGGCTAGTGCGGGGAGAAGCAACAGGGCATGCTGGACCCTGGGAACGCACATAAGGGCTAGTGCGGAGAGCCGGAACAGGGCATGCTGGACCCTGGGGACTCACATTAAGCCTAGTGCGGAGAGCAGCAACAGGACGCACAGGACTCGGGAGACACACCGGAGGCTTGGGGCGTGGTGTAGGCACTGGTGGGAAAGGGCTGGCGACGCGCACCGTATCCCTGGTGCGAGTGGCCGGAACAGGCCGGGCCGGGCTGGCGAAGCGCACCGTATCCCTGGTGCGAGTGGCCGGAACAGGCCGGGCTGGGCTGGCGAAGCGCACCCTATCCCTGGTGCGAGTGGCCGGAACAGGCCGGGCTGGGCTGGCGAAGCGCACCGTATCCCTGCTGCGAGTGGCCGGAACAGGCCGGGCCGGGCTGGCGAAGCGCACCGTATCCTTGGTGCGAGGGGTCGTAACAGGCCGGACCGTACTGGAGGCACACACCACTGGCTCTACCCCGGGAACTGGAACGGGCCGGACCGGACTGGATACACACCTCAGTCTCTCACGCCGTGCCTCTACATCTCCTTTCCCTACTTTGGCCAGTGACCCCCGTAACCTGGTTGCCTCTTGAATTCGCCCCTTCTCTGCCTCCGTTAGCCCCGTCGTCCAAGCCATGTGCCCCCCCCAAAAAACTTTTTGGGGTTGCCTCTCGTCCTTCCAACGATGATGGCCCTGCTGACGCCGTTGCTCCTCTCGCCGTCGCCTCTCCACCGTTTCGCTCCATGGACGGCGATCCATCCCATCCAGGATCTCCTCCCAAGTCCAGGACCCCTTTCCGTCCAAAATCTCCTCCCATGTCCAGGAAGCCTTTGGAGCTGGGTCCTGTTGCCGCTTGACACGCTGCTTGGTCCTTTGATGGTGGGTTTTTCTGTCACGATCGTCTGAAGAAGCGGACCAATACGCAGCGCGTGGAGTGAACATGATGACTTTTATTTAATAAAGCAACCACGAAAAACAACAAATGACGATAGTGAAGTCCTCTGTAACACTGACAGAAACATGGAACAAAAACCCACAAACCAAGGAGAAACCACACAGAATAAATATGGCTCCCAATCAGAGATAACGAGCCGACAGCTGACACTCGTTACCTCCGATTGGGAGTCATATGACTAAACATAGAACAATCACCAAACATAGAAATGAACAACTAGACTACCCAACATAGAAATACACCCAAACAATGAAAATGAACAACCCTGGCTCAATAATCAAAGTCCATGGAGCCAGAGTGTCACAAAAGAAACATTGGCTTTAGAGAATTATGCATTTTATGCCTTTGCCTCTGTATTGTGTTTGCTGGTTATGAAGTCATACAAATCTAAAAAACTTGAAAATTATCCCCTTGTCAAAGTGAATCATGTGAACCTGTACGAAAGTTAAGTAAAAAAAATGATATTGTCAATTTACTTTTTTCAAACTAAAAATTAAATATTACGTTAAATGTTTATTTCACTTTTGTTATGTGAATTATTTAACAAACTATTTCAGTGTCTCTGTGTGTCTCCCAAAAGGTTGTAAGTCTTTTGGGATTTAAGTAACGGACAGAGTCCCGTTCTGCATAGTCAGAGATATTTATTCATTGAGAATTCTGAAACCAAATGGTCGTACAATATTTTTATATGCACACGTCAGAGAATCCCTCCCCTCTTTAGGCGGGCTGTAGTTTTCCACTGGAAAACTGCTCTCCTGACCATCATGTCACACACACACACACACACACACACACACACACACACACACACACACACATACACACACTGTTCTTATCTTTTCCTACTCCTTGCTCGGGCAGGCTGCAAACTTCAGTTATCGCATTCTCACAATATCCTGCAAGCCTTCCACTCCCCCTCCCTGTATGTTTTGGGAACCAGTCTATACTCTGTTGCTGGGATATAAACACATTTGATTAATTATCTAAGCTCTAGTATACTAATTAGCCATACATTATTAGTTTAACTGAGGGTGTAACATTTTAGTCATATCTTACTCACACATTTCTTTTATCAACTTTCAAATAGTTTATTTAGGAATTATTACTTTTTGCTATAAAAGTAAGTTCGCACTAGTTTCTAGTAAGTTGGGAGCGTGTATAATGCAATTTAGACAGAATGTGGAATTCTGGGAAAACATGCTCCTACAAGATAATCGCTAAATTGTCAAATGATTTTAAAGGTAGAGTCAGTGATGCACAAATTAACAGCAGTATCAGGCTGACTTCCTGATACACACTATGTGTGTGAAGCGTGAGGCTAAACTTCTCTGCTGTTGCTGTTCACGTTGCAGCAGATTTAAGAATACCAACAAAACAGCAATTTCATTTTTATGTTGGTAGGATACAGTTTAACATTATAAAGAAATAGAAGTGTGAAAGTACTGGTAGATGTTTTATTCATTGTTCTTCATGCTCTATAGGGGAACTCAGGGTTGGGTTTCAGCATCGCTGGAGGAACAGATAATCCCCATATTGGTGATGATCCAGGGATCTTCATCACCAAGATCATTCCTGGTGGTGCGGCAGCAGAGGATGGCCGGCTAAGGTGAGTGCTATGGATTGAGCCCTTTACAAATGAACACTTCACTCAAGACATTGAGATAGCATTTATACAAGAGCATTTTGCCGTCAGAATGGATGGCTCGGGGACTCTCACCCATCATTTGATCTATACAGTGCCTTCAGAAAGAATTCATAACCCTTAACATATTCCACATTTTGTTGTGTTACAGCCTGAATTCAAAATTGATTAAATAAATAAAAAATCTCACCCTGCTACACATCCCAAATTTGTTGAAAATGAAATACAGAAATATCTAATTTACATAAGTATTCACACCCCTGAGTCAGTACATGTTAGAATCACCCTTGGCAGTGATTACAGCTGTGAGGCTTTCTGGCTACGTCTCTAAGAGCTTTGCCCATTATTATTTTCAAAATTCTTCAAGCTCTGTCAAATTGGTTGTTGAACATTGCTAGACAACCATTTTCAAGTCTTGCCATAGATTTTCAAGCAGATTTAATTCAAAACTGTAACTCGGCAACTCAGGAACATTCACTGCCTTCTTGGTAAGCAACTCCAGTGTAGATCTGACCTTGTGTTTTAGGTTACTGTCCTGCTGAAAGGAGAATGAATCTCCCAGTGTCTGGTGGAAAGCAGACGGAACCAGGTTTTCCTCTAGGATTTTGCCTGTTCTTCCGTTTATTTTTTTTGCCTGAAAAACTCCCCAGTCCTTAACAATTACAAGCATACCCATAACATGATGCAGTCACTACTATGCTTGAAAATATGGAGTGGTGCTCAGTAATGTGTTATGTTTGGGGCGATTCCAATACAACACCTTGCATTCAGGACAAAAAGTTAATTGCTTTGACACATTTTTTGCAGTATTGCTTTAGTGCTTTGTTGCAAACAGGATGCATGTTTTGGAATATTGTTATTCTGTACAGGCTTCCTTCTTTTCACTCTGCCAATTAGGTTAGTATTGTGGAGTAACTACAATGTGGTGATCCATCCTCAGTTTTCTCCTATCACAGCCATTAAATACTTTAACTGTTTTAAAGTCACCATTGGCCTCATGGTGAAATCCCTGAGCGGTTTACTTCCTCTCCGGCAACTGAGTTAGGAAGGACGCCTGTATCTTTGTAGTGACTGGGTGCATTGATACACCATCCAAAGTGTAATTAATAACTTCACCATGCTCAAAGGGATATTCCATTTCTGCTTCTTTTTTTTACCCATCTACCAATGTTAACCTTTCTTTGCGAGGCATTGGAAAACCTCCCTGGTATTTGTTGTTGAATCTGTGTTTGAAATTCACTGCTCGACTGCGGGACCTTACAGATAATGGTATCTGTAGGGTACAGAGATTAAGTAGTAATTCAAAAATCATGTTATTTACTCCTGAACTTATTTAAGCTTGCCATAACAAAGGGGTTGAATACTTATTGACTCAAGACATTTCAGCTTTTCAATTTTAATTAATTTGTAAACATTTAGAAAAACATTATTCCACTTTTACCTTATGGGGTATTGTGTGTAGGCCAGTGACAAAACATCTACATTTAATCCATTTTAAATTCAGGCTGTAACACAACAAAATGTGGAACAAGTCAATGGGTGGGAATACTTTCTGAAGGCACTGTATATGTGCCATGTTTTGAAGGCTCTACCCTGTAATGGATAGGCTGAAAGGGTTCGTTTTCAGATTTCCCCTGAATTTTTATCTTACTTTGAGAGCTGTTCTTTGACAATTTGTTATAGATATCTACCATTCACATTATCTTTGTTCGCCATGTTAGTAGTGTGGGCTAATGTTAACACTTCATTGGATTGCATTTATTCCAGAAACTATCCCTAAACACCCCAATATAAATCTCACGTGGTACTACGGCAGACTGTATGCTATAGCAGTATTACGCCTTGTAGAAATCGTTTTACCCTACTTGGATGCAGAGTCCATATGAAAGTCTTCTTTAAGAGGTGGTGGCCAAATAATCAGTTCTAGATTCGGTGTGAGTCAAGAGAGAAATGCCACTTAGAGAAGCAATTACCCTTGCCTGACTTTGGGGAGCTCTGCTCGGCTTTGGATAAATCACTCTGGCGTGTCTAATGAATGTTTTGTTTTCTAAGATGTGCACAGAGACTAATGCATTAGTGGGAAAGGCCTACAGTCTCAAAGACACAATGGGTTTTGACACTGTTTAAGCATTATAGTCAGGCACACTTTATTTATGGTTATTTATTCACTGCACAGTCTGGGGAATGTAGCATAACATTACTTATTCTAAGCACATTGTTGCTCTTACGTTGTAGCTGAATGTAAATAGGAAATACTCAAAAGCTTTGCTCTGGCAGCACTGTACATAACATAAGACTTTGGGGATGCTTAGAGCACCACATCATTAGCAAGATAACAGGATGAAACTAAAAGGGAAGTTCAGGATTTTACAACTTGATGTTAGATGGTTCCTCAGCCTGAAAGTAGTCTATGGGCCAGGATAAACTATAATCCATGGTTCAGTTTTCCTTAACCAGCCACTACAAATGTCAGCTAACTTTAGCCACCTCTAGCTAACAATCAATGGATGTGATAGGGGCAATTGTGCCCCAAAATGTGTTTGGGGGGGCAAATCACCTTTAACATCAAATCCCATATGGAGTTGATTTCAGTTTATTTGGCCTTGAAAGTGACAATGGCCATGCCCGAATACCCATACTTGCGTTCTAAATAGTAGGCATTTTAAGTATGCGAAAAGAAAATGTTTTATAATATGTGAAATGTGAAAATCGAGTATGCTTTAAATGCCAGGATGTTATACTCATTTCGGCTTTTCATCTAGTAGAATTCGCTGCACACTTTTGAGGAAGATAATTGTCTTTCCAGGCTCACGTGTTTTTGACAACAGCTGATAATGAGATGCACTGTATCCAAATGAATGAATGGCGGGAATAAACGCAATTGCGCATTCGATGAGGCATTCTAAGGATGGGTGAGCCTACTGTGTTGACATTTTTTGCTTACTGCATTCGTATTTTTTTTATAGTATATTATTTTATTTAAAAAATAAATAAATTACCCCCTTTTTCAATCTTGTCTCATCGCTGCAACTCCCCAACGGGCTCAGGAGAGGCGAAGGTCGAGTCATGCATCCTCCCGCCAAACCGCGCTTCTTAACCCGGAAGCACCAATGTGTCCCAGAAACACCGTCCAACTGATGACCGAAGTCAGCCTGCAGGCACCCGGCCCGCCACAAGGAGTCGCTAGAGCACGATGAGCCAAGTAAAGCCCCTCCGATCAAACCCTCCCCTAACACGGACGACGCTGGGCCAATTGTGCGCCGCCCTATGGGACTCCCAGTCACGGCCGGTTGTGACACAGCCTGGGATCGAACCTGGGTCTGTAGTGATGCCTCAAGTACTGCGATGCAGTGACTTAGACCGCTGCACCACTTGGGAGGCCTTCATAGTACATTCTAAATAGTATGTAGTATGATTAGTACACAGTATGTACAGGTTACTGACAAAATAAAGAAAACACCAAAATAAGTGTCTTAATAGGGCGTTGTGCCACCACGAGCTGCTAAAACAGCTTCAATGCACCTTGGCATAGATTCTACAAGCGTCTGGAACTCTATTGGAGGGATACAACACAATTTTTCCACGACAAAATCCATCATTTGGTGTTTTGTTGATGGTGGTGGAAAACTCTGTCTCAGGCGCCGCTCCAGAATCTCCCTTAAGTGTTCAATTGGGTTGAGATCTGGTGACTGAGACGGCCATGGTATATGGTTTATATACAGTACCAGTCAAAAGTTTGGACACACCATTTCAGTGTTTTTCTTGATTTTTTCTATATTGTAGAATAATAGTGAAGACATCAAAACTATGAAATAACACATATGGAATCATGTAGTAACCAAAAAAGTGTTAAACAAGCAGAGGTAACTCTGGGTCTTCCATTCCTGTGGCGGTCCTCATGAGAGCCAGTTTCATCATAGCGCTTGATGGTTTTTACGACTGCACTTGAAGAAACTTTCAAAGTTCTTGAAAAGTTCCGTATTGACTGACCTTCATGTCTTAAAGTAATGATGGACTGTCATTTCTCTTTGCTTATTTGAGCTGTTCTTGCCATAATATGGACTTGGTGTTTTACCAAATAGGGCTATCTTCTGTATACCACCCCTACCTTGTCATAACACAACTGATTGGCTCAAACACATTAAGAAGGAAAGAAATTCCACAAATTAACTTTTAACAATGCACACCTGTTAATTGAAATTCATTCCAGGTGACTACCTCATGAAGTTGGTTGAGAGAATGTCATGAGTGTGCAAAGCTGTCATCAAGGCAAAGGGTGGCTATTTGAAGACTCTCAAATATAAAATATATTTTGATTTGTTTAACACTTTCTTGGTTACTACATTATTCCATGTGTTATTTCATAGTTTTGATGTCTTCACTATTATTCTACAATGCAAAATATAGTAAAAATAAAGAAAAAGCCTTGAATGAGTAGGTGTGTCCAAACTTTTGACTGATAGTGTAGTTCACATGTTCATCAAACCATTCATTGACCACTCGTGCCCTGTGGAAGGGGGTAGTGTCAAGGAAGAGACCATTCCTATCAGGATAGAAATGATTCACCATAGGTTGAAGGTGATCACTCAGAATGACTGTGCATTTGTTGGCGTTTACCTTGTCCTCTAAGGGGTTGAGTGGACCTTGACTGTGCCAGGAAAATGCACCCCACACCATAACAGAGCCGCCAGAACCCTCATTTACTCAAGTGTTTCCTTTATTTTGGCAGTTACCTGTAGTTTTAGTAAGCAGTAGGCAAGACATATTTTCGACATGGCCAAAGATATTTATTGTTATAAAATACCTTTCTATGAAGCATATGGTGCAAACGTTTTGCTTTGCTGTGGTGTGTGCTAATGAATACACCCAGCTGTTCAGTAGATTGAACAGCTGTATAATAATCAGACATTCAACTTTGGGCATTGAACAGTAAATGCATATAGTGTACTTACTGCAAAATAACAGAACTCACTGCAGACCTTCATGCTGAGGATAAAAACACAGATATTATACATGTGTAAATAGGCAGAATCTCTCGCTCTGCTTGAGTGTGTGTGTTTTTGTGCATAGGGTCCCAGCTGGTCCCTCACAATGCGCCTCAGGAGTGTTCAGGCCTTGAACGCGGGGGCATGGATGTTTGTGGCCTCTCCTCACAGGGTTAAAGGCTCACACTGCAGCAGGGTCCCCCTGCCACACACGCACGCTCACACACGCACACACACAAATACTGTTTTCCCAGGTTTACGCTCATGTTTCCATCCTCTTCCTTCCTTGCAGAGTGAATGACTGCATCCTGCGGGTGAATGATGCCGACGTATCTGAGGTGTCCCACAGTAAGGCAGTGGAGGCCCTGAAGGTGGCCGGCTCCATCGTCAGGCTGTACGTTCGCCGGAGGAGACCCATGCTGGAAGCTGTCATTGAGATTAAACTCATCAAAGGACCAAAAGGTTGCTACACTCCCTTTCCTCTATCTGTCTGTCTATAACCATGCACATCCAGTATCCTTTGTTTTGTTCAGTATTTTGTCATTGGGGGTTTTGTACCCACTTCCGTTGGCAGGAATTGAGATAAACCCACTGAAATCAATGAAACATGCTACACCGGCCACAGAAGCAGCACATCAGTGAAGCAGCAATAACACGAGGTTCGCTTTGCTGAACCATCTTTTTACGCTTCGAGTCTACTTTCTAGCGCTACAGTTGTCTATAAAGCGTACCCTACTGATATAAGTGGCTTGTGCTTGTGATCTGGAGGCAGCAGCCTAGAACACTAGACCCCCCTGAGCCTCAACACATTATTTTTGAACCTCCACCCTATTTCTCCTCAGGGCTGGGCTTCAGCATCGCAGGAGGGGTGGGCAACCAGCACATCCCGGGGGACAACAGCATCTTTGTCACTAAGATCATAGATGGAGGTGCAGCACAGAAGGACCAGCGCTTGCAGGTTGGAGACCGGCTGCTTATGGTAGGTTACTGCAGCTTCCCTATCCCTGCCCTGCCCTGCCCTGTCCTGCCCTGCCCTGCCCTGCCCTGCCCTGCCCTGCCCTGCCCTGCCCTGCCCTGCCCTGCCCTGCCCTGCCCTGCCCTGCCCTGCCCTGCCCTGCCCTGCCTGCCCTGCCCTGCCCTGCCTGCCCTGCCCTGCCCTGCCCTGCCCTGCCCTGCCCTGCCCTGCCCTGCCCTGCCCTGCCCTGCCCTGTCCTGCCTGCCCTGCCCTGCCCTGCCCTGCCCTGCCCTGCCCTGCCCTGCCCTGCCCTGCCCTGCCCTGCCCTGCCCTGCCCTGCCCTGCCCTGCCCTGCCCTGCCCTGCCCTGCCCTGCCCTGCCCTGCCCTGCCCTGTCCTGCCCTGCCCTGCCCTGCCCTGCCCTGCCCTGCCCTGCCCTGCCCTGCCCTGTCCTGCCCTGCCCTGCCCTGCCCTGCCCTGCCCTGCCCTGCCCTGCCCTGCCCTGCCCTGTCCTGCCCTGCCCTGCCCTGCCCTGCCCTGCCCTGCCCTGTCCTGCCCTGCCCTGCCCTGCCCTGCCCTGCCCTGCCCTGCCCTGCCCTGTCCTCATCCCTAATAAGTGGACCAATAACATACTGTACTGTGAAAGCGTTGTACAGCATAACAACCTTCATAACACATGTATTCAACATAATTCATAAGGGTTTTCAAAATAAAATAGCGGTTTATTTATTTACATTTTAGCCATTTAGCAGATTGTCTTATCCAGAGCGACTAGGGTTAAGTGCCTTGCTCAGGGGCACATTGACAGATTTTTCACCTAGTTGGCTCGGGGATTCAAAGCAGCGACCTTTCGGTTACTGGCCCAACGCTCCTAACCGCTAGGCTACCTGCCTCCATTGTACAACGGAGGAGTGAATAGTGTTTCAGAAGGTTGGGTACTCTGACAGTAAAATATACATTTCCGTTGTATAATGGATAAATGAAGAGCTATTTAATAGGACTTTTATTTTGAAAACTCCTTGTGAAGGATGTTGAATAAATGTGTTTTGAAGGTTGTTATCCAATATAATTATTTCACAGTAATACACCAAGGTATTACGTTGTAGCAACACACCCTTTTTCAGAAGAGTGAGTCACTTAAACATGGTTTAATTCAACTAGCTACATCCCTGCTGCCTCCAGCTCCGGGGGATCCCTAGCCATCGTAATCTGCACTTGGCAGCACCAAGTAACATGATGTCGGTCTGGCATGTGAGGAGTGGAACATGAGGTTTAACCGTCTTACGCAATGCCTGTGATTTTCTCCATGTTCTCTCCACCCCCACAGGTGAACAACTACACTCTGGAAGAGGTCTCCCACGAGGAGGCAGTAGCCATACTGAAGAACACGTCTGACGTTGTGTACCTGAAGGTGGGCAAGCCCACCAGTGGTTACTTATCAGATCCCTATGGGCCACCTGATATCACGCACTGTGAGTTTGTCACCTCTTTTTCAACCCTCTACCCACCCGTGCTCCGGGGTGAAGTTTCCCCTAGCTACAGATCTACGATCCGCTTCCCCTTCCCCCATCCTAACCTTAAGTGTGGGGCAATGCAAAACTGACCGAAGATCACCGTCTAGTGGCAACTTTACCCTAGTCCCCCACCTGTAGAGACACAATTTTAGTTTGTAGTCCGAATAGTGTACAAGAGGGCAGCACTTAAATGACAGATTAATCCTGTATGAGTAACCTCTACTGTTCTAGATCAGGACAGTAATCTTTCACTTCGTTTCACTCTGATGCAGCGTGTTTGTTCAACTCTTTAGTATCATCCCTGAGTTTAGATAGAGCCTCAATTTGAATGTGATGAGTGTTGTGATTGTTTTTGAGTACATAGTGTACAGTATATTTATTTGAACTTCCTCCCTTGCCATGTAAATTTGAATGCCAAAGCATTGGATTTAGTAATATTTCTATTGTGTTTTTAGATTCATATTCTGTCAATGTTCCAACATTGTGTGAGCCTCCAAACTAAATTATATGTATTTGATTAATTGATTGGTTGATTGATACGTGTAGTCATTAGCTGAATGCTAAAGTCTGATGAGCAATGTACACAATTGTTTTCTTTCCAGCGTTCTCTCCAGCAATGGAAAATCATATATCTTCCATGGGCAACAACGGCACTCTGGAGTACAAGTGCAGTCTTCCCCCCATGCCCATCTCCCCTGGAAGGTACTCCCCCCTCCCAAAACACTTACTCGGGGAAGAGGACATAAACAGGTTGGATGGTTTTTCCTTCTTAAGGTAATTACATCCCTTCTTACCAGACGCCAGTAGTATTACAGGTAGAGCCTCTGTCACCCCACCCCACCCGTGTTCTATGGAAACTCAAAAGCAATCTTAGATGACGTTACAAGTTGTGTTGGCATTGATTGCTTTGGGGATTTGCCCCTACCTCCCTTCCCACCTCTTTGGTCCCTGCTGTTTTCGTCCTGTGCTCTGTGTTTTGCACTCGCGAGTCCTGTTTTTCCACTGTGTTGTCTTGTAGCACTGTTTTTATTCTGGCGGTACATTGTAGAGATACATGTGAAGATATGCTGAAGGGTGGCATGGTCATTGTGTGCACCTTTACAACATTGCTGTAGGTTTTTAAGCTTGCTCTTTGAATCTAACAATATAAAGTATGTAGAAATGGGCCAGACTATTACGGATCTGAATAATTAATTCAACTTAACGGTCCAATGCAGCCATTTTTATCTCAATTTCAAATAATTTCTGGGTAATTGATTTTCCACTTAAGTTTCTACTAAAGGAGAGAAGTGGAGTGTTATGCTGGAGTGATATATTGATGAGGCTTGTGGTGATGTCGAATTATCCTGCCGGTCGCTGTATAGATCTGCATTTTGTCTCTGACGCATGGTAGACGTGTTACTCCAAGCAAAATCCAGGCTGTGTGTTGATTGGCTCAGTGCTCAGGCGAATTCAGAGCAACAAGAAATGACTTAGCAGTTCTTAGGGAGAAAATATGTTTCAGACCTGTCATCGGTGTTCTAAGACCAGAAAGACAGTCTCTTGATCACTACAAGAGGTACTAAGACAACTGCAAGTCAATTTAGTAACTTCCTACTGTACCACATCAATCGAATTTGTCTTCTTGATGTGTTTCATAACTGAAACAGAATGCATAAGTACTAGAGTGCCAAATCATTTCAATATATATTTTAATCTGCACAGTTTTGCATCTGTAAAAAAAAGCCTATGACTTTTAATAAAAATGCTGTCTGATTCTGTCATTATAATGTTGTGTTCTAGTTCAAAGTTTCATACAGTTGAGCATTTAATAGATGGTTTGGTATAGAAAAGCACACTGGACTTTAATTCGGATGGTGGCCCCACTAGTTAACAGGGTTGGGGTCAATTTGAATTGAAGTCAGTAAATTCAGGAAGTGATTAGAATTTAACCTTTTTTTCAATTATTGAATAGGAATTGAAGTTTACTTCCTGAATTGACTGACCAATTAAAATTGACCCCAACCCTCCTAGCTTATGGAGAACCAAACCTGCCATAAATAAATGCACATATAAATAGATAAATACATGAATAAATAAATATATTCACACATAAATAAATAAATAAATGGATGAATGAATGTACACATAAATAGAATAGAATATAATTATTACCCCTTTCATTCATTTTATTCATCTATATTGACTTCATTTATTTATTTCTGTATTTCTTGATAATGAGGGGGTGTCAAGAAAACATATGTGGGTGGTATCTAATACACCATTGGTTGATCAATGTCACGGCGTGTTGCTCGATTGCATTATTGAAGAATGAAAATGAAGTCACCTTTCACTGCTAGGCAAATCCCCGCCATATCTTAGCTCATTGGTCACCATAGCAACACCCACCCGTAGTATGGAGTACTAAAAATATACCAAAATGGCACACAAAAATGCACAGAAATGCACACATGATGGACATATTCTGCACACAAATCATTACTGATTTGATCACTCATTCACTCACTCACTGACTCACTCGTTACATTAGTTAAACGTAAGGTGCTACATTATTGATCCATATCAACCATGAACCTTTAGCAATTAGGACTTTGGCATTTTATAAATGCATTAGGTACATGGTGGTCCCTCTTGTGGTCTCTTTTGTAAGGAATTTCTTTCTGTTTATCAAGTCCAGCAATTCTCCCTGACCAAACACTTTGTGTCATCCTCTGTAGCATACGTCCAACTGTTTGTTTTGTCAAACACAAAAAAACACGTGCATGATTTTCTTCATTTAGTTTTTATGCTAAATGCCTACAAACTATATTTTAAATATAAGGCTATTGGTGTTCGTAATTCTAATTCATAAAACCAAGTAAAATCTAATTTTGTTTGCAGTTTCTTTAAGTTTTCTTGGCATTGCCTCTCTGATTCTGACTCTGTTATTGCTCTTCCTTTATTGGTCTCATCTCTTCCTCAATCAGAAATGCCTCGATAGATGATGGGGAAGCTCACAGGTTTGAGTCGCAGCACTTCCAGTTGAGGTGAGAAATTTCAAAATGGCCGCTGACTTGGCCCTCATGTTTGCCCTCCCATTCCATCTGTGACACATCTCTTTCCTAATTTTGTCCTTAAATACAACACGGCCTATACAGTGGGCAACATTTTTATGTGCAAAAGTAATGTAAAAATAAAACAAATTACCATATACCTCATTGTAATCTGGCAGTGTGCTTTAAATTGAAACTCAACAACTTGCGTTATAAAGAGGTGTCTATTTATGTAGATTTCTTTTATTTATTTAACCAGTAAAATCCCATTGAGACACAGGGTCTCTTTTGCAAGGGAGACCTGTCCAAGTAAGCAGCAGCATTCAATACAACATTACACAATTTTAAAAACATAAATGCAGGCTACAGAGGTAGAGAGAAAGAGTTTACCCAGAATGTAAATGAACACGTATCAATATCTGCGCACGTAAAGCGAGGTCCAACCCACCATTTGGTTCAAGGTGCAATGGTGGGTGAGTGACTTGCCATTTGTAACAAAAGGATGCATGATCAACAGAGTCCAGTCTCTTTAACACAGAAGAGGCTGTATGTGTATACAATAAGTCTAATTTTACTGAGCTCAAGTTAAATATACAGTCAAAAGTTTGGACACACCTACTCATTCAAGGGTTATTCTTAATTTTTTACTATTTTCTACATTGTAGAACAATAGTGAAGACATCAAAACTATGAAATAACACATATGGAATCATGTAGTAACCAAAAAATTGTTAAACAAATCAAAATATATTTTATATTTGAGACCCTTTGCCTTGATGACAGCTTTGCACACTCTTGGCATTCTCTGAACCAGCTTCACCTGGAATGCTTTTCCAACAGTCTTGAAGGAGTGCCTTGCAAAAGTATTCATCCCTCTTGCCGTTTTTCCTATTTTGTTGCATTACAACCTGTAATTTAAATATATTTTTATTTGGATTTAATGTAATGGACATACACAAAATAAACCAAATTGGTGAAGTGAAATTAAAGAAATAACTTGTTTAAAAAAATTCTACAAAATTTATAATGGAAAAGTGGTGCTGGCATATGTATTCACCCCCTTTGCTATGAAGCCCCTAAATAAGATCTGGTGCAACCAATTACCTTGTGGACTTTAGTTAAATAAAGTCCACATGTGTGCAATCTAAGTGTCACATGATCTATCACATGATCTCAGTATATATACACTTGTTCTGAAAGGCCCCAGAGTCTGCAACACCACTAAGCAAGGGGCACCACCAAGCAAGCAGCACCATGAAGACCAAGGAGCTCTCCAAACAGGTCAGGGACAAAGTTGTGGAGAAGTACAGATCAGGGTTGGGTTATAAAAAAATATCTGAAACTTTGAACATCCCACGGAGCACCATTAAATCCATTATTAAAAAATGGAAAGAATATGGCACCACAACAAACCTGCCAAGAGAGGGCCGCCCACCAAAACTCACGGACCAGGCAAGGAGGGCATTCATCGGAGAAGCAACAAAGAGACCAAGATAACCCTGAAGGAGCTGCAAAGCTCCACAGCAGAGATTGGAGTATCTGTCCATAAGACCACTTTAAGCTGTACACTCCACAGAGCTGGGCTTTACGGAAGAGTAGCGAGAAAAAAAGCCATTGCTTAAAGAAAAAATAAGCAAACACGTTTGGTGTTCGCCAAAAGGCATGTGGGAGACTCCCCAAACATATGGAAGAAGGTACTCTGGTCAGATAAGACTAAAATTGAGCTTTTTGGCCATCAAGGAAAACGCTATGTCTGGCGCAAACCCAACACCTCTCATCACGCCAAGAATACCATCCCCACAGTATAGCATGGTGGTGGCAGCATCATGCTGTGAGGATGTTTTTCATCGGCAAGGACTGGGAAACTGGTCAGAATTGAAGGAATGATGGATGGTGCTAAATACAGGGAAATTATTGAGGGAAACCTGTTTCAGTCTTCCAGAGATTTGAGACTGGGACGGAGGTTCACCTTCCAGCAGGACAATGACCCTAAGCATACTACTAAAACAACACTCAAGTGGTTTAAGGGGAAACATTTAAATGTCTTGGAATGGCCAAGTCAAAGCCCAGACCTCAATTCAATTGAGAATCTGTGGTATGACTTAAAGATTGCTGTACACCAGCGGAACCCATCCAACTTGAAGGAGCTGCAGCGGTTTTGCCTTGGAGAATGGAAAGAACTCCCAGTGGCTAGATGTGCCAAGCTTATAGAGGCATACCCCAAGAGACTTCCAGCTATAATTGCTGCAAAAGGTGGCTCTACAAAGTATTGACTTTGGGGGTGTGAATAGTTATGCACGCTCAAGTTTTCAGTTTTTTTGTATTATTTCTTGTTTGTTTCACCCCAAAATATATTTTGTGTCTTCAAAGTGGTAGGCATGTTGTGTAAATCAAATGATACAAACCCCCCAAAAATCAATTTTTATTCCAGGTTGGAAGGCAACAAAATAGGAAAAATGCCAAGGGGGGTGAATACTTTCGCAAGGCATTGTATGCTGAGAACTTGTTGGCTGCTTTTCCTTCACTCTGCAGTCCAACTCATCCCAAACCATCTCAATTGGGTTGATGTCAGGTGATTGTGGAGGCCAGGTCATCTGATGCAGCACTCCATCACTCTCCTTCTTGGTCAAATAGCCCTTACACAGCCTGGAGGTGTGTTGGGTCATTGTCCTGTTGAAAAATGAATGATAGTCCCACTAAGCCCAAACCAGATGGGATGTCGTATCGCTGCAGAATGCTGTGGTAGCCATGCTGGTTAATTGTGCCTTGAATTCTAAATAAATCACACCAGCAAAGCACCCCCACACCATAACACCTCCTCCTCCATGCTTTACAGTGGGAAATACACATGCGGATATCATCCGTTCACCCACAGCACGTCTCACAAAGACACGGCGGTTGGAACCAAAAATATCAAATTTGGACTCCAGACAAAAGGACAAATTTCCACCGGCCTAATGTCCGTTGCTGGTGTTTCTTGGCCCAAGCAAGTCTCTTCTTCTTATTGGTGTCCTTTAATAGTGGTTTCTTTGTAGCAATTTGACCATGAAGGCCTGATTCACATAGTCTCCTCTGAACAGTTGATGTTGAGATATGTCTGTGACTTGAACTCTGTGAAGCATTTATTTGGGCTGCAATTTCTGAGGCTGGTAACTCTAATGAACTTATCTTCTGCAGCAGAGTTAACTCTGGGTCTTCCTTTACTGTGGCGGTCCTCATGACAGCCAGTTTCATCATTGCACTTACATTACATTTACATTTACATCATTTAGCAGACACTCTTATCCAGAGCGACTTACAAATTGGTGCATTCAACCTATGATAGCCAGTGGGACAACCACTTTTTTATTTTAATTTATTTAATTGTATTTATTTTGGGGGTGGGGGAAGAAGGATTACTTTATATTATTCCAGGTATTCCTTAAAGAGGTAGGGTTTTAAGTGTCTCCGGAAGGTGGTCAGTGACTCCGCTATCCTGGCGTCGTGGGGGAGCTTGTTCCACCATTGGGGTGCCAGAGCAGCGAATAGCTTTGACTGGGCTGAGCGGGAACTGTGCTTCCGTAGAGGTAGGGGAGCTAGCAGGCCAGAGGTGGATGAACGTAGTGCCCTCATTTGGGTGTAGGGTCTGATCAGAGCCTGAAGGTAAGGAGGTGCCGTTCCCCTCACAGCTCCGTAGGCAAGCACCATGGTCTTGTAGTAGATGCGAGCCTCAACTGGAAGCCAGTGGAGTGTGCGGAGGAGCGGGGTGACATGAGAGAACTTGGGAAGGTTGAACACCAGACGGGCTGCAGCGTTCTGGATAAGTTGTAGGGGTTTAATGGCACAGGCAGGGAGCCCAACCAATAGCGAGTTGCAGTAATCCAGACGGGAGATGACAAGTGCCTGGATTAGGACCTGTACCGCTTTCTCTGTAAGGTAGGGTCCTTCTCTGCAAATGTTGTAGAGCATAAACCTGCAGGATCGGTTCACCGCTTTGATGTTAGCAGAGAACGACAGGGTATTGTCCAGGGTCACACCAAGGTTCTTTGCACTCTGGGAGGAGGACACAATGGAGTTGTCAACCGTGATGGCTATATCATGGAGTGGGCAGTCCTTCCCCGGGAGGAAGAGCAGCTCCGTCTTGCCGAGGTTCAGCTTGAGGTGGTGATCCGACATCCACACTGATATGTCTGCCAGACATGCAGAGATGCGATTCGCCACCTGGTTATCAGAAGATATGACAGAGCCAAGTGACTTGGTGTATAAAGAGAATAGGAGAGGGCCTAGAACTGAGCCCTGTGGGACACCAGTGGTGAGAGCACGTGGTGCGGAGACAGATTCTCGCCACGCTACCTGGTAGGAGCGACCTGTCAGGTAGGACGCAATCCAAGAGTGAGTAGCGCTGGAGATGCCCCACTCGGAGAGGGTGGAGAGGAGGATGTGATGGTTCACAGTATCAAAGGCAGCGGATAGGTCTAGAAGGATAAGAGCAGAGGAGAGAGAGTTAGCTTTAGCAGTGCGGAGAGCCTCCGTGACACAGAGAAGAGCAGTCTCAGTTGAATGACCAGTCATGAAACCTGACTGGTTTGGATCAAGAAAGTAATTCTGAGAGAGATAGCAGGAGAGTTGGCTAGAGAAGGCACGCTCAAGAGTTTTGGAGAGAAAAGAAAGAAGGGATACTGGTCTGTAGTTGTTGACATCGGAGGGATCGAGTGTAGGTTTTTTGAGGAGGGGTGCAACTCCATGGCCAGTGGTCAAGGATGAGTTGATGAGCAAGGTGAGGTAAGGGAGAAGGTCTCCGGAAATGGTCTGGAGAAGAGAGGAGGGGATAGGGTCAAGCGGGCAGGTTGTTGGGCGGCCGGCCGTCACAAGTCGCAAGATTTCACTTGATGGTTTTTGCGACTGCACTTGAAGAAACTTTCAAAGTTCTTGAAATGTTCCGTATTGACTGACCTTCATGTCTTAAAGTAATGATGGACTGTAATTTCTCTTTGCTTATTTGAGCTGTTCTTGCCATAATATGGACTTGGTCTTTTACCAAATAGGGCTATCTTCTGTATACCGCCCCTACCTTGTCACAACACAACTGATTGGCTCAAACGCATTAAGAAGGAAATAAATTCCACAAAGTAACTTTTAAGAAGGCACACCTGTTAATTGAAATGCATTCCAGGTGACTACCTCATGAAGCTGTCATCAAGGCAAAGGGTGGCTACTTTGAAGAATCTGAAATATAAAATATATATTTTGATTTGTTTAACACTTTTTTGGTTACTACATGATTCCATGTGTTATTTCATAGTTTTGATGTCTTCACTATTATTCTACAATGTAGAAAATAATAAAAATTAAGAAAAACCCTGGAATGAGTAGGTGTGTCAACTTTTGACTGGTACAGTATATATATAACTGTAAACAGGGATGCAAACTCAGACAGCACATTTAATATATATATATATATATATATATATATATATATATATATATATTAAATGTGCTGTCTGAGTTTGCATCCCTGTTTACAGTTCTCATGTCAGTGTTTCTGTTCAAAGTAACCTTTTTTGCCCTGAAAAGGCTTTAGTAATGTACTCTGAATGCCCTTTGACAAAATCAGTGATAAAAATAAAGAAATTAAGCTTAAAGTTTTTCGGATTTTACATGAATGAATAAAGTTTTTTTCCGATATGTGGCTGGCTAACGCACCATACACCTCGTAGTAGGCTTTCCTTTCCTGGTACTATCATGGTTCAAAACACTTTGGTTCATACTAAAAACTAGTTTTTACATTTTTGCTTAGTCTCAAAGATATAGCGGATGGAAAACTCACTAGAGCGCTAATGCTAAGGCTATCTTGGTGTGTAAGACTGCAGGAGGGCTCTCTGTGCCACAGCATGGGGGGTGGAAGAATGCTGATTATATTTTACCCTGGAAAGTGGAATTCAAATTCTGTAGATGTTTTGCATTTAAAACAACAAAAACCTGAGTGCACATGTACATGCTTTATAAACCAAGTAAAGGTTTGCTTCTTCTTTCCTTTTTCACTCCTGCAACATAGGTGTTATTTCTCTCTCTCTCTCTCTCTCTCTCTCTCTGTGTCTGTACTAACCACTTTCTCTGCTCTTTTCTCCTACCCACCAGGCCTCCTGAGCCAGTTTACAGCACTGTGAACAAAGCACCTTCTCCCCGCCACTATTCCCCCGTGGAGTGTGACAAAAGCCTCCTCCACTCCATACCCTTCCCTCACTATCACTTAGGCCTGCTCCCTGACTTCGAGATCACCAGGTATTCTACCCGCTGCATGGCATAGCTTTGCATGGTATTGCATGGAATGCCCCTACTCTCTTCTTATCCTCAGACACTCACTCGTTCCGAAAGTTCTTGCTCCAAAGTGCATGCCTCTCCTCCCTCTCACTCCATGCCCCTACTCTCTTCCTATCCTAACTTTCTCACTCACTCACTACCTCACTCACTCACTCGTTCCCAAAGGTCTGGCTCTCTGTAAGCCTGCATGACTCTCCTCCCTTGAGCTTCCTCTCTCTCAAGGGGAATGGTCCTCTCTCTCCAGGGGGTATGGTCCTCTCTCTCCAGGGGGTATGGTCCTCTCTAAGGGGTATGGTCCTCTCTCTCCAAGGGGTATGGTCCTCTCTCTCCAGGGGGTATGGTCCTCTCTAAGGGGTATGGTCCTCTCTCTCCAAGGGGTATGGTCCTCTCTCTCCAGGGGGTATGGTCCTCTCTAAGGGTTATGGTCCTCTCTCTCCAAGGGGTATGGTCCTCTCTCTCCAGGGGGTATGGTCCTCTCTAAGGGGTCTGGTCCTCTCTCTCTAAGGGGTCTGATCCTCTCTCTCCACAGGTCTGGTCCTCTCTCTCTAAAGGGTCTGGTCCTCTCTTAGGGGTCTGATCCTCTCTCTCAAGGGGGTCTGATCCTCTCTCTCAAAGTATGTGATTGGCCCGTCGGTCTCCACATTCCCCCATCAGTCCCCATTACACCTCTGCTATTGACATGACTTGCCTTGCACCAAGTGTGACTTGAATGATAATGTTTATTTTAATCGTTTATTATTATCGTTATTTGTTTCTTTCTCAGTAAAAGTATTACACTTAGGCTGGCTTTGATTATGAGTCTATTGAAAGTTATAGCATTTTAAAATGTTTGTGTCGATTGCATTGCCAACTGACTTGCTGCCAGTTTGTGACAAAACAAAACAACATTCCAAAATTCTCATATGTCTTTAAGATTAATACACTTACTGTAAGTTGCTCTGGATAAGAGTGTCTGCTAAATTATTAAAATGTAAAATGTATATGTGAATCTTCTCTCTCAAAGGGGTCTGATCTAGTCCAAACCTGCTGGCCTTATCTTTCGCAAGCACAGGCAATGTTGTTCAAAATAAACGTTTTTTATTTGAAAAGCATCAGGGTATTTGGTAAATGTGGTTTTGGAAGTGGTTTGTTGAAGCCTATAGCAACTACTGTCAGAAGGACTTATTCAATGAAATTCTGGAAGTCAGCATGGATCATTTTTACTTCGGTTGAATGGTTTTAGACGCACTCAACACCTAAACGCATTCATACTTTTTGCAAAGCCAACAAAGAATTCCATTGACGTTTAATGTTAGGTACGTTGAAATATGACGTTGCTAGAATGTTAATTCAATGTGTTTTTGCCCATTGGTGTGATCGTAGCGTTAAGGGGCAAGTGGTGATTGCACTGGTCATAGATATTAGAGATATTCTCAAGCTATCTGAGATTTCTTTTAAATGTATATCTCTCTTTCTTAGCTCTCCCTAAACACATTGTAGTTGAAACCCCAAGCACTATTTTCCTTCTGGGTCAGGACGGCCTTCACCTTCGTTAATGTTTGCTTGTTTGTTTAGAATTTCAATTATCTGCATTATTTTATGAAAACTCAAGTAATTCCTAATTGGCCTCCATGGGAGTTATAATAATTTACATATTAAAACATCAACAAGAACAGCAGTATACTTTTTTTCATCAATTGAAATATAAGTATTGAGGTGCCACTTTATATGATAATTATCAAGATTCCGTTAGTGGTAAGCATACAAGTTTGTGTCTTTGTTCTCCTATTAATAGCACTTTGCTTTCTTTATCTTGTTTGTGCAGGGCTTTTTTATTATTTCATCTTGTTTATCATTTATGCATGAGCAGCGTATCTATGAATACAATCAGCAGAGCTGATGAGTGTGATGGCATTCATGAATAAGGCATAAGGTATTATTTACATTTAATCATTTAGCAGACGCTCTTATCCAGAGCGACTTACAGTTAGTGAGTGCATACATTTTTTCATTCTGTTGTGGATGCTGTTAGGACCAGATGAGTTCAACTGAGCCGTCTGAGCGTCATCCATATTGTTCAAGTTTGACCAACCTAATGCAATACGAACAGAAATGTGTACACTGAAGGTTAAGGCGGTTAAAGTATCACTTTACTCAAAAAAACATCTTTAGTGTTTTGATATGGTTCCCAAAAATTGTACATGCCAGCAGTTAGGTTTTCTAGATTAGCAGTTAAGTTTTCACCACTCTTTTTGCTTTTTACTGAAAGTGTTTTATCTTGAAAGCTTAACTGCTGACATACAACTATGGGGAAAAACAGACGGGGTTGGCTTAGATTGTGGATAACATGTAAACTATATTTCGTCTCAATGTTTATTCAAAACATAAATACATTTGCACAATGAGCTCTTATTGTCTCTCAAATACATCGTTACAGTTGTTGCTTAGCAAGCAGCTTTGAGCCATATTAGCATAGACATGACATCAATAACAAGATACAACGAGCTGAACCTACGATTCCCCACATGACAGCTTCTTGTCATTGTTGCTAGCTATCTGACAGTCCAGAATCATAACAACACAGGACCACGTGCTGACACAGACCAATCACGGGCTGGCAGGCTACGAGGAGGCTCACGCCCTCATACACGCTCTTTTCAAGTGTCTCTCAGGCAGAATGAACATGACTACATCAACCATGATCCTTTGCTAGTTACGGCCACTTTCACCATGATCTTTAGCGATTTGTTTGGTGCCATTCAGCCCTTTTCAGTAATATGGCGCGCTTCAAATTCAAATAGTTCCGGCTTCATGCGCCATTGGGAGTTTTCCATAGAAATACGTGGATGATGTCAGAGCTATTACCATCTACTGGTTTTAATGTCTTTGGATTGGGACTTGGCACTCTCTGCATCATTACTTGGAGTCCCTTGACTACTTCATCTTTCAATGAATAAGCCTGCTGTTCATTATGCAAGTAATTTCAAACTATGCTGACACTTATGTAGGCATCGACAGTGGTTAAAATTAATGGCGTATGTTGTTTTATTTGCTGTTGAAGCACTCTACCGTAGGTCTTTATCAAGCTCTGGCCATGTCGATGAAGCCAAAATATGATTTTGGAAATCGGATGATTGTTTCTTTCAACAATTTGTCAGAATATACTGTAGTTTTACTTGGCATCATTCCGCACCAGTTGTATTGTGCACATATGTGCCACACAAATGCTTCTCTGATTTAAAATGACAAGTAGGGATGGAATGATGTTCATAGATTTGTTCTGGATGTGCCGACTCAATATTGAATTCATTTTGATGACTTGATATGTCTGACATGTCAAACATTGTTAACTGAGATGCATTAGAGAACCATCAAATGGTAAGCCTTTATTGATAGGTTAAGGGTATTTGACAGAATCGATTGATGTACTGTAGGGTGAATTTGCCCCTAGACACTGATCTTGGGTCAGTTTTGCACTTCCCCCACTAATTGTTAAGGTTGGGATTGGGGGAGGGGAAGCTGAACCTAGATCTGTACCTAGAGGTAACTTTACCCCGGAGCCAATCTATCAGGATATCAGAGTTTCAGTTAGTCCACCTGAGTTTAATTATTATTATTTTATTAGCTATTCTCTCCTTTTACAGAGACTTAGCAATAATCTCACAATCACAGAATACCAGAACATTTTAGTATGTAATAAAAACAGAGGATCATTTTGTCTAATTGCTCATTGGTAGGCATAACCACTTCTTTGTCTGAACCCTTATTAACTAGAAGGCAGTGGTTACATCCCAAATGGCACCCTATTCCCTATATAGTGCACTACTTTTGACCAGGGCCCATAGGGCGCAGGTCAAAAGTAGTGCACTATGTAGGGAATAGGGTGCCATTTGGGACATTGACAATGTTATTTGGATTGCCATGTCACCCTTTTTTTTGGGGGGGGGGCATTTCCTCGATGTTGTTCGCTGAGTGCACTGCCACTTTCATTCTTCTAATCCAATTACAACCCTTGAGAGCTGTGCTTTTGTCATTTGACTTATCAGAGGTAGCAGGAAATAATCAAACTGTCTCTTTAAAAACCTTTTCCTCTAGAATGCAAGGGGGTATGCAGTTCCAATCATTTCTCAAAGGGTTTAACCCAATGGGCAAAAACTGGTTGAATCAACGTTGTTTCCATGTCATTTCAACCAAAATAATCCATGTGATGGCGTTGAATCAACGTGGAAAACTGATTGGATTTGCAAAAAGTAATCAACGTAAGGGAATTTCGTATGTATTTATTTTTTACCTTATCCAATGATTTCTTGTTGAATTCACCTTAGTCGAAAACTCAACCAAATGTAAATCAAAACTAGATGTTGAACTGACGTCTGTGCCCAGTGTGATGTATTCACCTCTCATTCTACTGTAAATTGAGTAGGTTGAGTGGGAACTGCTTAACCACAAGTACTTAGATAGCATGCTGAACCCTGGCAAGACGGAGCTGCTCTTCCTCCCGGGGAAGGACTGCCCGTTCCATGATCTCGCCATCACGGTTGACAACTCCGCTGTGTCCTCCTCCCAGAGTGCGAAGAGCCTAGGCGTGACCCTGGACAACACCCTGTCGTTCTCCGCCAACATCAAGGCGGTGACCCGCTCCTGCAGGTTCATGCTCTACAACATTCGGAGAGTGCGACCCTGCCTTACACAGGAAGCGGCGCAGGTCCTGGTCCAGGCACTTGTCATCTCCCGTCTGGACTACTGCAACTCGCTGTTGGCTGGGCTCCCTGCCTGTGCCATTAAACCCCTACAACTCATCCAGAATGCCGCAGCCCGTCTGGTGTTCAACCTTCCCAAGTTCTCTCACGTCACCCCCCTCCTCCGCACACTCCACTGGCTTCCAGTTGAAGCTCGCATCCGCTACAAGACCATGGTGCTTGCCTATGGAGCAGTGAGGGGAACGGCACCTCTGTACCTTCAGGCTCTGATCAGTCCCTA